TTATTTTGGTAACGTCCATCATTTCACACCTCTTCTGAACATACATACAGTCTTCTTTAAACAACATTTTAGACTCATCATGAAAGTCCATTTCGATCTCATCTGTTAACTTACTGTCAAAACTTTTTTGGAAATGGTCTTTTCTTAGATAATAAATTTCATCCATCCAAAAACAATCTTCATCTTTTCTCTCAGCTGGATATTTCATAGTCTTTAACACATCAAAAGTGACTTCCTGGTCACTAATATTCATAGTCAACTTTTCTTGTTGCACATCTATCATAGCTTGTCCAGTAACAAGAAAAGGTCTTCCCAAAATAATGTGATTTTATTTATCTTCCTCCATTTCTAATACAATAAAGTCCATAGAAAAGATAAATTTATCCACTTTAACAAGCACGTCTTCTATAATCCCTTTTGAAAAAATGATAGATCGATCAACTAACTGAAGGGTTATACCAGTGGGAGAAATATCGACTAAACCTAACCTTCTAAATATAGATAGAGGTATCACATTAACACTCGCTCCGAAATCACATAAAGCTTTTCCACATAATCTTTCTCCAATTGCATAAGGAATTGTAAAGCTATAAAGATCTTTAAGTTTCTGTATCTTTATGTTTCTGAGGATGCTTTTTCTGAAGTATAGCGCTGCACTCCTCACTTAGAGCAGCTGTCTCATAATCCCCAAATTTTATTTTTTTATTTAATATCTCCTTCATAAACTTTGCATAACTTGGCATCTGTTTCAAAGAATTAGTGAAAGTAATATTTATCATTAACTTCTTAAGTATTTCCATGAACTTTAAAAATTGTTTATCCAAATCTTGATGTCTAAATCTTTGAGGAAATGGAGGTGGTGGTCTTTCTAAATTGATTTTAGTTGGAGATAATAATTTTTTCAGACCCTTAGAAACATGTTCTTTAGGTCTTCTAGTTTCCTTTATTTCTCTCACAATTTCTTTCTCTTTTCTAACGGTATCCTCTATCTCTCTTCCACTTCTTAATTGGACAACTTCTACCTGTTCATTATTGTTCTCTTTAGGTTTTTCCTTGGGGTTTATTGCTAAGTGAATTAGCAATTTGTCCCAGTTGATTCTCTATGTTTCTAATCACAGCATTTTGACTTTACAACGGGTTTCTCATTTCAACTAGTTTCCCAGTTATGATACCACATCTTCTATAGACATCTTCTTATCCTCAAATTTTTTTTCATTGTTAGAGTCCAGTGAATATAAAGGTCTATAATTTGTGTTCCCCTATTTATTCCAACTTCCATTAGGATTTGCATGATTATTTTCCCATTATTGGTTTACACCTCAAGTAGTGTGATTCCAGTTAAAATCAGGATGGTTCTTCCAACCTGGGTTGTAAAAGTTAGAATACAATTGTTTGTGGCATTTAAAGTCTCATATGATAAGTTAGAATCAATCATATGCCCTAATAAACTTTCCTCACTGGAGTAAATTGAGGCTGGTTCATTCCAAATTGGTCCAATTTCCTTGATATTGTAGTAACCTGAAATACAAGAATTGCAATTGCATCTATATCATGAACATTAGTAACCTTTTCAAGATTTACCCTAGTAGAGAGCCATTGAAATTCATTTGTAGCCATTAATTCAATTAACACATATGTTTCATCAAATGGTTTTAACATTAATGATCCACCAGTGATAGTGTTAATTTTAGACTAAAGGGATCCTACTGACCCATTGTAAAAAGTTTGAATGATTAACCAATCTTTGAATGATTAACCAATCGTTAACCAATCGTGCAGAGCATGGTGTGGACACTTTCTTAGGAGTTCCTTAAATCCTTCCCAGGCTTTGTATATTGATTCCTTTTTATATTGAGAAAATGAGATAATATTGTTTCTAAGTTTAGTGGTCCTTGAAGGTGGAAAATACTTAGCTAGGAAATTCTGAGTTAACTCCTCCTAAATTTTAATAGAGCCAGGTGCTAATGAGTATAACCACATTTTAGCCTTATCCCTTAGTGAGAAAGGAAAAAGTCTTAGTCTAACAACATCGCCTGACATGCCGTTATAATGAAATGTAGCACAAAGTTACAGAAAACTTGATAAGTGTAAATAGGGATCCTTTGAAAGAGTTCCCCCAAACTGATTGTTCTGCACCAGTTGGATAATCTTATGATTTAGTTCAAATGAGTCCGCTTCTACGATAGGGGTTTGTATACTTGAGTGAATTTCAACTGTCGTAGGATATACATAATCCCTCAAAGAATTATGATGATTTTCCAAGTTATTATTTTGAATGTTTTCCATTTCCATTTCTAGTTTTTTAAGTCCTGTTTTTTTATATTTTTTTCTTTTTTCTAACTTGGGATGATAAGGTACAAGTCTTGCAGATTATTTATTTTGCATACACAACATAACAAACAATACATTAATAATTAAACAAATAAAATAAAAGATATATTCATCACAACAAAATATTTTCACAAAAATTCCTTTATTCCTGCAATTTTATTTAAACTTCAGCAAAATTATATATATTGCACAAGCTAATCTTTCAGTGGGAGTAACGATAAGATAACAGGTACACCTTTATGGGTTTATTTAATTTTTGTCATTTTAT